ATTCGAAAGTGAACCGGTAACCAGTGCAGTGAGGCCAAAACTGGTGTAATGTGCTCTCTTTTGCCTGTACTGGTTAAAAATGGGGCTGCTGCATTCTGGACCAGTTGTAGTCGTGCAATGGAGGTCTGACTGATACCAAACAGGAGCGAATTGCAGTAATCAAGCCTAGATGTAATGAATGCATGCATTACTGTCTCCAGGTTCTTTTTAATAATAAATAATAATAAACTTTATTTCTATAGCACCTTCCAACAACGCCTTGCATTGACCAAGGTGCTTCACAAGACAAAACAACATTAAAAACAGGACAGAATAAATCAGTGCAAATTAAAAACACAGCGAGAATAAAAGAAGGTAAAAAAGATCAAATAAATAAATAAATACTAAATACTAAACTACTAATAGTTAAACATTAAAAGCCCTTTTAAATAAATATGTTTTCAGTTTGGCTTTGAACAGAACCAGATCAGAGATGGCACGCAGCTCATGGGGAAGAGTATTCCAGACTGTTGGGCCTGCAACAGAAAAGGACAGGTCCCCCCATTGTTTGCTCCTTGAGCAAGGCACCTCCAGCAGATATTGACCAGCAGACCGTAAAGCTCTGCTGGGCTGGTGGACTTTCAAAAGTTCTGAAATATAAGGTGGTGCAAGGCCATTCAAAGCTTTAAAAACAAACAGCAGCAGCTTGAACTGTATCCTAAACTGAACTGGGAGCCACTGCAAAGAAGAAAGGACAGGAGTGATGTGTTCATATTTACGTGTGTTAGTCAACAGGCGAGCAGCAGAGTTTTGTACAAGCTGTAAACGGAAGATAGAAGATTGATTAATACCGACATATAAGGCGTTACAGTAATCAAGCCTAGAGCTCACAGAGGCATGGATGGCCTTCTCCAGATCACTACGGCTAAGGAGTGACTTTACTTTAGAAAGCAGACGGAGCTGAAAGAAGCTGGTTTTCACAACAGAACTGATCTGTTTATCTAACTTTAAGTTACAGTCAAGCTCCACTCCTAGATTTTTTACCACCTGGTTAGCGTGGGGGAGCGGAAAACCTAGACTGGGAGAAATGTTGCATGAATTACTGGAAGCACCAAATAAAATCCATTCAGTTTTATCGTTATTGAGGTGGAGAAAATTCTGAGACAGCCAGTGCTTAATGTTGTTTAAGCAGCTGGCAACAGAGTTGAAACTGAGTGAGGAACTGGGAGTGACCGGCAGATAGATTTGTACATCATCTGCATACAGATGAAAAGACAGATTATGGTGTGCAATGATGGGTCCTAATGGTAGCATGTAAAGTGAGAAGAGAACAGGCCCCAGAATGGATCCCTGCGGTACGCCAGAGGTCAAAAAAGAGACTGAAGAAGAGGACAGATCACCTTTCATGAGAGAAAGTTCTGTCTGTTAAATAGGACTTAAACCACTCGAGCACAACACCCTGAAGGCCAACCTGCTGAGCCAAACGAGTGATCAGGACCTGATGGTCTACAGTATCAAAAGCTGCTGAGAGGTCCAACATCACCAGCAGAACAGGTTTTTGGCATCAAGGGACAAAAGAATATCATTCTGTACTTTGAGTAGTGCAGATTCAGTGCTATGACGGGGTCTGAAGCCAGATTGAAATTTTTCAAACAAGTTGTGTTCTAAAAAAGATTGCAACTGAATGAAAACAACCTTTTCCAGAACTTTGGATAAAAATGATAAGCGTGAAATTGGCCTAAAATTAGAAAAAGCTGTAGGATCTAAACCCGTTTTTTAAGAAGAGGCCTGACCACAGCATGTTTGAAAACAGACGGGACATAACCTGAACTTAGACAGCTATTAATAAATGTCAGAAGACAAGGACCAATAACATCCAAGGACTGCTTGAACATCTTAGAGGGAATGATGTCCAGGGTACAGTTTGTAGGTTTCATCTGCTGAACCACCTTAACGAGGTGAGGTAGTGAGACCAGGTGGAACTGATCAAACACAGCAGAGGTTATTGAGGGAGCACATAACTGAACAGCATTATATGTACTGACAATGTTCTGCTTGATAGAGTCTATTTTGTTCACAAAGTAATCAAGAAAACCATCACAGGTAGACTGTGTAGCAGTTTTCAGAACATTGATGGAGGAATTAATGACAGACTGAATGGTATTAAATAAAACCCTTGGCCGGTTACAGCTGGTATAAATTAAATTAGAAAGATATTGTGATTTGGCCTGCTGAACAGCTTTTTGATCTTCATGAAGACAGTCTCTCAGTATGTCCTGGGACACATGAAGCCTGTCTTTCTTCCATCTGCGTTCTGCTTTCCTGCAACGTTGTCTAAAGGTCCGAGTGGTACCATTAAGCCAGGGATCTGGCTTGATTTTTGTAGACGTCTGTCTTAAAGGAGCGATGGAGTCCAAGATCTTTGTAGAAGTGTATTGAAAGGAGGTGATAAATTCTTCTGGATGTAGAGATGAGTCCAGACTTTCAGCAGAGTATAAGTCAGTGCTTCTAAACGCAGCAGCAAACTGACCTGGAGTGGAGGGAGTGATGAAGCGGCAGCGACGTGCTGGAAGCATAGTCTTTACCGGGGGAGGAGTGGAAAAGTCAAATATAATAGGAAAGTTGTCTGAAATACAAGTGTCCAAAATTTCTATAACAGATACACGAAGGCCGTGAGAGATGATCAAGTCCAAAGTATGACCATGACTGTGTGTGGACCCTGACACAGATTGTGACAGGTTAAAAGAATTTTTGGACAATATGGGCTTCAGTTTAGACAGCCGCCTCAGTTGGAAGAAACATGATTGTTAAGTTTCAGGGAAGGGTCCATTATCACGCCCAGATTAGTGACTCTTTGTTTTTCTGACAGGGTTAGAGCGGAGAGGTCGATGCAGTGGTTTGTGATCGTGTCGTTGGGAGGGAACAACATGACTTCAGACTTCTTTTCATTGAAACTTAAAAAGTTTAAAGCCATCCAGTCCCTGATGTCAGCCAGGCAGTTGAGCAGCGGTTGAATAGAGCATGTACCATTGTGTCTTAGGGGGAAGTAAATTTGACAGTCATCGGCATAGAAGTGGAAGGGCATGTTGTGTTTCCGGAAAATAGCACCAAGCGGCAGCCGGTATAAAGAGAATAGGAGGGGACCCAGGATGGACCCCTGTGAAACCCCCCATTTAAGCTCTGCCTCTGCAGAACTAAAATCCTTGATGGAGACACAAAAGGATCTGTCAGTGAGGTAAGATCTGAACCAATTGAGGGCTGATCCTGTGACGCCCACCCACTGCTCCAACCTAGCAATAAGGATCTCATGGTCGATGGTGTCAAAGGCGGCTGTGAGGTCCAACAGGACAAGCAGCACAGAATCACCGGTGTCTGTGAATCTGAAGATGTCGTTAAAGACCTTCAGCAGGGCAGTTTCAGTGCTGTGGAGAGGTTTAAAGCCAGATTGGAATATCTCTAAGATGGTGTGACCCTCCAGGAAGCACTTCAACTGGGACTCGACTCTTTTCTCCAGTACTTTAGAAACAAATGGGAGTTTGGAGACAGGCCGGAAGTTGGAAACGACTGAGGGGTCAAGGTTTGTTTCTTTCAGGAGAGGCTGGACAGCAGCATGTTTAAAGGTTTTTGGCACCACACCAGTGGATAAACTACTGTTTACTATATCAAGAATGGACGGACCTAGAGTTGGAAACACCTCCTTTAGTAGTCGAGGGGGGACCACATCAAAGGGGGAACAAATGACAAAAACAGAAAAAACACAATCACTGCAGACAGAGGTGGAGGGCAGGCCATGCACAGCGGCGCCACCTTCCCGGAAGAGGTGTGACAGAACCTCAACCGAGCTGATGATGAAAAACACCTCTTATCTGGACAATGGCTGTGTGTGTGTGTGTGTGTGTGTGGGGGGGGGGGGGCTCTGGACTATGCTTGGACTTTCCCTTTAAACTCAATGTCTTCATCGGCCTCATGTGTACCACATCCATTTATGTTGGTTTGCTGTGGTAGATTTTTTTGATGCCTTAAACCGTACCCTGTCCATGACACGGTGGGAGGGATATTTTTTTATGCCATCTCTTTTTTTATACCGTCTCTTTTGTCTCTCCTCATGTTTTCTTCCCTTTTCTCATCTAAGCTAAAAGTATTCTGCAAAGGACGAGAGGCCGCGCTCTTAAAGAGCAGCAGAAACGTGCACTCATCCATCTTTCAGACGATTGTACGGACATGTTCTCGTTGTGTCTCGGTGCAATGACAATAAAGTTTATTCTGATTCTGATGTGTCCTCCAGACTGATTGTCCTAACGATGTGTCCTCCAGACTGATTGTCCTAACGACGTGTCCTCCAGACTGATTGTCCTAACGATGTGTCCTCCAGACTGATCGTTCTAACGACGTGTCCTCCAGACTGATCGTTCTAACGATGTGTCCTCCAGACTGATCGTCCTAATGACGTGTCCTCCAAACTGATCGTCCTAACGACATGTCCTCCAAACTGATCGTTCTAACGACGTGTCCTCCAGACTGATCGTCCTAACGACGTGTCCTCCAAACTGATCGTCCTAACGACGTGTCCTCCAGACTGATCATCCTAACGATGTGTCCTCTAGACTGATCGTCCTAACGACGTGTCCTCCAGACTGATCTTCCTAACGACGTGTCCTCCAGACTGATCGTCCTAACAACGTGTCCTCCAGACTGATCGTCCTAACGACGTGTCCTCCAGTCTGATCGTTCTAACGACGTGTCCTCCAGACTGATCGTCCTAACGACGTGTCCTCCAGACTG